GTGAAATAGCTCACGTTTTTATACACGCAAACCTTTGATAGATCCGGCCCTTTGTGTACAAAATGACAATAACGGTAGTCTCTGTCGTATTGGAGCCAATACACTAAATTCTGAAAGGAGTCACCAACTTTCATAAAAATCACTTTGAAATGTTCCTGAAATGTTGACTTCCTGTTCAGGTGGACTCATTCCTATTTGTGTCCCTCTGTAGGTACAGGCCTTCTTGGACACTGAGGAACGCTCTGCTGTAGCCATAACTAAATTCCATGGAAATTGGAGGAAAATGCTTGAATATGTGAAGTGTCAATATATAAATAAGTGCTTTAAGTTAGTTTTTTTTTTCTATGTTTTAGCTAGGTTTTCTTTAATGAAAATGTGGCTATGTTGTAAAGAATCTGTTTTCCTTTGCTTAAGGATAGTTGGTCTTTTGATAAATTTTGAACTTCATAGTTTGTTCATGAAAAAGTGTGTGTTCCTACTTGAGGCAGACGATAGAAAGGGACCTGCTGTTCTCCAACGTTATGCTTTAGTTCAGTTTGACAGTCATCTGGGAAACGGATCTTTTCTTTGGGTCGGTGGTGAGGACGGACATCGTCTTCCCATTATTTGGAGGTTTTTGTTCTTTACTGTTCTATATACAGAATTCATAAATCAGAACACGAGTGATTATTACTGCTCTGAAACGTTCAAACATTTACCGGCCCGACGTCACAATATCCAATCAGTATCAAACACATTATCAGTCGGAAAAAAACTGAAAGTTTTGTAGAAGCTGATTTTTTTGTTTTTTTTTTTTGTTTTGTTTTTTACTTTAAACAGTAAAATATGATTACATGTCCAGTTCTTTTCACAGTTGTTTTCTTATGAACAATAAAGCTATTTTCAACAGCTGTCTTCTTTCAGCTCTGTGGAAGCCGTGAATATGTTTCCTGTTTCTTACAACATCTGCTTGGTTTTTATTTGGAACTCAGAATGATACCAAACCAATTACTCAATACTGCGGACCATTAAAGTGCTTCTTCCTATAAAATTCCTGGCTTTTCTTTACTAGGAAAATGCGGAAACAACCTTCAAACCAGCCGTGTGGCAGGAGAAGCCCTCCCCACACAGGAAGTATAGTGCAGCAGCCAGAGAGGAGACGCTTTGCTAAACGTGTCCAGTAGATAAACACTACCGTTCAAAAGTTTTGGGTCACCCAAACAAGTCACACTTATTCACCACCATTCATGTGAAATGAATAGAAATTAGAGTCAAGACATTGACAAGGTTAGAAATAATGATTTGTATTTGGAATGAGATTTTTTTTTTTTTTTACATCAAATTTGCTTTCATCAAATAATCCTCCATCTGCAGACCTTTGGCATTCTAGCTGTTAATTTGTTGAGGTAATCTGGAGAAATTCCCCCCCACGCTTCCAGAAGCAGCTCCCACCAGTTGGACTGGTTGGATGGTCACTTCTTGCGTACCATACGGTCAAGCTGCTCCCACAGCAGCTCAATGGGGTTCAGATCTGGTGACTGCGCTGGCCACTCCAAATCCGAGACCATGGTCATGAGGCGGAAGAGGGAAGAGAGCCTTTTCCAGGTTGGGGAGGATGTACTGCCCCTAGTGGAGGAGTTTAAGTATTTTGGGGTCTTGTTAACAAATGCTAGGAAGATGGAGCAGGAGATCAACAGGCGGATCGGTGCGGCGTCTGCTGTGAAGCGTGCGCTGTATTGGTCTGTGGTGGTGAAGAGAGAGCTGGGCCAAAAAGGAAAGCTCTTGATTTACCGGTCGATCTACGT